CCTGAATAGGCTATTCCTGTTGACAAAAACCCTAGACGGAGTTTACAATCTATCCCAGTCCGCATTCATACTAGACTTGATGCAAGTGCAGTCGTATGCAGTCGTAACAACAGCCTCGAAGCGCAGTTCGCGTTGGCAAGGCCGGAAGACTACATGCTGAGGCGCAGAACTTGGTGCGTGCTAAATCTGGCCCGAGGATTGAAGGCATGTTGCCTTTCAATTGCTGCACCCCTCTTGTCTCTACTTTTGGGATTGATCTTGCGACTGAGACAGGACTACTTCCCTGCTGCTTGCGTAATGCTTTGGCGTTTGAGCCTGCCGGTGATGGTAATGAGGGCCTCACAAGCGGTTCAGGGTTTAGTACTTCGGGGCTAAAGAGTTCAGAGTTTATGGGCTTAGATGATTTGGGGTTGCACCGGAAATCCTTCGCTGGTGGATCCATGGCATTCACGGTGTCCCAGGCACGTGGTGCTCCAGGAAGGTATCGGAGATCCTGGCCAGCACACAAAGCAGTTTGGTGAGCTCCAGGAAGCTTTGGCAATGTCGTCTGAGCCTTCTCGCCAGTAGTGCCACTGATGCACTCCGACTTGCTGCTTGCGGTTTGAACTTGTTGTGCAGTGGTATGACTGTCAGCTGTTTTCTCAAAGCGGTTGTGGTGCAATGACCTCGCAGCAAACAAAGCTGGCCACCTCGAGGGATCCCGGTTTCCCGCTGTCTGCTGCTTTGCATGGCAAAGAGTTCCCATAGCAATCCTTGCAAGGACAGTCGAGCATCGAACCATCGCAGAAAAGCGCCCTTGCTGAAGTCCAGACATACTGCACTGCGGAAGCAGCCGGCTTCGAGCTGTCCCTGGAGCCATGCGAAATCGAGGTAAAGCAAAGCATTCTCCACTTCAATGAAAGCCGGCCTCTGCAGCTTCGAAGACGGCGACATCTCCTGGGCCGCAGGGGCATGTCAGTTTCAAGAGAGTGCATGTCATAGCAACATGTGCAGGACATCGAGGATGAGGCTTCGCGCAGCGCCACTGCCTCGGACTTCGGGGATCCTTGCCAGAAATCTCAGAGTGAGCGTACTGCTTGTCGAGGTTGCGTGCATATGCGGTCTCATGAATATCAGGAATTAATGCCTCGTTTGTCTCTGACTTCTCCCGTGCTGGCAGTCCTTCGGTATCCTTCTTGTGGGAGAGCCATCCGAAAACGTCAAGGTACAGCACACCCCGGAAGGAGAAAGGCACCATCGCGCCGTTTTCCTCTTCAGTAGAAGCGGACAGCTGCACAGCGTTTTTGAGACTGCATTGAGACGCACTGATCCACTCCGCGCATTTGCCCGGCCTGCTCCTCGACGTGGACGAAGATGGTCATACAACCCAGTGCTAATCCGTTAGAGATGTAGGCCTGGCCGTCGCCGGTTTCTGAAGGCTGTCAGTCTAATGTTCACATGACAGAAGCACCAGCGGAGCCAGCATCTCGGAGATCTGGGTGTCTTCCCGGTGAAAGCACCAGAGGTATCTGAAAGGCCGCACAAATGGTGGGACATGGAAGGCTCGACAGCAAGAATGATAACTGCCTGGCAAGTCTTAGCAAGATCGGCTCGTACTTAGCCCGGATGTCTGCCCCAATCCCCAACACCCAATCCCACCAGACACGGCGCACGAGGCCACGTAGCTCATCAGCGGCCCGACTGCCACCAGAAGTTGCACCATGCGCTGCTGGAAAGTCGGACTTGGCAGGGACGGCCCAAGAATCCAAGGCTGTAACCAAAGGGGTAAGAACATCTTCAACCCCAACACTCTGTCCCGTGACAGACTGACACAGAACCGCGTGCAACAAACATGCGCTTGGGTCCCGGGCAGGCTCAGATCCACTCGGGCAACGACCTGCCCAAGGGCAGGCTGAAGGTCGGTAGCTTCGGGTTTCGATGACGACACAACGGGGACAAGCGCAGAGTACTTGTTGAGATCGTTGATTTCTGCAAGTCTCCCGGCCGCTTCACCAGCAAGGTATCCAGGAGATTTAATTGGAACCCGGGATAAACGATTCACTGCCGAGCTGTCAGCATCCTCTTGCCACGTGGATGTACCAAAAAAGCAGCGGAGTTGCCTTCGAAGGTCAGAACCCCTAGCCGCATGTGTATCTGAAGTAGGCAACGTTTGTCTGTACTCGGCGACTCACTATCCACCGAGCCGAGTTGCAACAGATCACAGTCGTATGATGCAATAGCATGCCGGCAGCCCTCTGTACAGAAGACGGGGACCGACAGATTGCAGCACAAACGCCTCATGACTTCGTCACAGGTCTCGAGTCCTTACCTGCTTCTGCGTCGCACGCAGCAGCATGGGGCATGAAGCACAGGAAAGCTCAACCGCGCTGGAGGAAACAGCTTCTGCTTCTACAGGCACAAACAGCCTGTAAAAACATACGGATCCAGCCAGCATCAAGTTGCTGCTGGGCAATGCTGATGGCTGGACTTTAAATGGAGTCTCCATCTGAATGTGGCACACAAAGCTGCATCCGAAGCCCAACCACCCAAGTTCTCAGCTCAGTTAAGCATGCATTTGCCTCAGTTGCATCGCACAGGGGTGTGCCCATCCATGCCAGTCTTGGGATGGCAACTGATGCAGACAAATGGCTTTTTCAACTCCTCGCTCTTGAACAGCATGAGCTGGACAGCGGGCATGTCTCCACTCTATGCTAAGGATGTGGAACTGCCCTCACGGGTGCCTCGAACTCTTTGACATCTATCCAACCGTCCTTGTCCACGTCAAACTGCTCGACCAGCTGCTTCGCCTGCGAGGCTCGTACTCCCAAGTTGCTGTTTTCCGCTACGGCCACACCTTCCCCTCATCGATGCTGAAGCCGCGCATCAGGTCTGGCACCCCGAGCTTGCCATCCCTCATCGAAGGAAAAGGTTGATGGTGTTAAACAGCGCGGATCGCCGAAAAACACCGCAGCACATCCAACTTGCAATCTGGGCGCTTGTTTTTGTCCATGCCGAAGAAGAATTCCTTGGCACGGACCGCGCCGAGCGTCACGGGCGCTTTCACGCCAAGAACTGGAGCATCCGAGAACTGCAGACACTACGAGTACTGCAAACGAAACCCTGAACTTCCCTCAACTTCCCCCAAACCCCAAATGGTAAACCCTAAACTTGCCGAGGTGGGAACTTTTGTTTCGTCGAAGAAAGAGTCTGCCTCGGGCTCCTTCGCGGCCTGACAGCGACAGCCGCAGCGCTTCTCTATAGTCTATCTACGTACCATGCAGAAGTGTGCGTACATATACATGCATGCACGCATGCCTGCATAATATGAATACTATCTATACACATATGTGTTTATGTTTGCGTATATGCGTGCATGTGTGCCACTGGAGATGTAGGTCGGCAGGAAGCGGCCTCCTTTGACCATTGCTTGAAGAAGTCGTTGCCCTTGTTGTCCACAACCTGATGCAGTCCGGCCAGAACATGTGCAGCGCCTTGACATTGAAAGACTTGGCTGCAGACGACGAAGGCTGGAAAGTCTTCGACCTCAATCTTCCATACGGCCTGGGGCGGTGTGTTCATAGCATCTCCGACGCTTCTTTCACCCTCCATCCTAGGCACCAAGATCCACTAGCCAAGGCCCGTCATATCCTCAAGAGCAATACTCTTTGGAAGACGACTCGCTCGCCTCCATGCCCAGCTCCTCCATATCCAGCACTTCCACCTGACCATGGAGTGGGCAACTCGGATGTCGGAGATATTTAGTCAATTTCCCTACTATATGCATTCAGATGCTCAACTGGCTGCGAGGCCCCTACCTCTAAATTAAAAGAGGTTCGATAAGTTTCCAAGGCCCGCAGGGTCGCTACCGGTACCGTTGAGCTCGCTTCTACTTGCACCACTGTGACGGCGCCTTCTTGATGCTGTTGGAGCTGAGAGTCGCGGCCACCCCGCCTGCGAGGCTTTTCTGACCGCTCTTCGGCACTCCTCGGGGACTGTGTCTGGGTGAGCGGCCAATGGAGCCCAGGTAGAAACCTACAGCCGTGCGACCGAAAGCGAACGGTTGAGGCCGACAGCTCAACCTCAGCTCACAACGGCCTCCGTGCTCCTTGCAAGCGTTGGTCACCGCTTTGGAGCGGTTGCCCTTCCTCTCGAACCGACAGAGGGAACAAGAAGAAGGAGGATAGCAATCACGGCAAGAAAAGTCTTAGTCTCAACAGCAATTGTGATTGCCTGTCTCCGGCTTTAGGAAGTCGGTTGTGCGACGTCAGTCAGTCGTCAGGAAACTGAACCTGAACCCCTTCACGTCACAGCGCAGGTCCCGATCATGATCATTGAGCCACCCCTTGGCTTTCACCGAGGAGATCCAAGCAGACTCAAAGCCCTGTCAGCCGAATCGCAGTCAAGACACTGTGCCTGGAATGTGCCCACATACCTCCAGTTCACAGGAGCTCTGCGAGGCCCAAACATGAGAAGTGACCTGACAAATTATTCCGTGTGAACCGATCACGGACGGAGATTGCGGCCAAGTCGCTGGTCCATTCTGCCTGAGGTCGTCGGCCCGAAGGATCCAGAAGGCATACCCGCGGGAGTCTGTTGACAGGTGCTGGGAATTCATCTACCCTAGGATCGAACGTTCTCCCTGACGACTGGTGAAAAGCTCAAGAGTGCTGCTCAGATCACGAAGAACGACGAAGAGTTTCATTGCGGTTCTGTCCACCCGGCCCGACAGCATGTTCGAAGCCTCATGACACACTTTAGCTCGCAAGCATTTCGCTCCTTGGCGGGGCCGGCATAGTACACCGGATACTTCTTGATGTACCTTCGATTCAAGCTACAGCCATACTCACATCAATAGCGCAAGCGCTGCACGGCATTGAGATACACTGCGGTGTCCCAAGAACCTACAAGAATCAGCCTGGCGCGTAGTATTGGAGGTCAAGGCACTCAGGCAGGCCCTTCCCTGAGTCCAGCATCTCCTCGAATCAGCTTCCCATCTGCTCAGCTGCTTCCAAAAGGACGAATCCCCGGTCTCCATCGGTCTCCTGCATCTTCGCGTGCGCGATGTCGCGCGCCACGATGATGGTTCCCGTCCTCGTGTGTCAAGTGCTCCGTCCCGTCTCCCCAACCAACATAGAACAGAGTCTGTATGCACCGAGTTCCCACGTTCAGAGTACGTAGATGGACAAGATCGCTGTCCGAGCGAAGCGCAGGCACACCCGGCATCTATCCGGCACATGTTCGACTAGAACGCTTTCTTTCCACAAATAAACACGCACAGTCCAACGGAGCATCCCCGAGGGATGCCGACGACTTGATGAATCGTGCTCCCGCCACAGTGGCAGTGCCGCGCGCATCTTGTGGATGTTTTTGCGTGGAGATGGTGCTCCCGCCAGAGAAGCTCTCGATCCAAGGGATGCATCGTGCTCCAGCCAGACATTTACACATTTTGGACTCATGGGGTGGCCTTGGGAGCCTCGGGTTGCTGCTGGAATGCTTGAAGAAGAGCGGGGAAGTAACCAGTTCAGCTGGGGCCACGTGCAATGCAGGAATCTCATTCTCGGAACTTTCTCGGAGAGGCACTGTAAGACGAAACGATCCACTCGCAGTGGGATTTGAGATTCGCGCAAGGCGAGTCTGGTGGCCACCGGATAGTTGCTCAAGATCTTCAAGTTCTCCTGCCACCGGATACGATCTCTGGACAAAGGAAGAAATCTTAACGGAATCCTTGAGCCCAGAAGCATGCGGAAGCCTTGAACGGTTTTGGGTAGTGGCAGTGCCATCAGGCAATCAGGCAATCAACTAGCCCTCGAACCTTCCATGATCACAACTCCCGAAATGGAAGAACAGAGTCATGCCATGAGACAGCAGGCCCATGTTTCGGTCATGGCGATAAAGCAAACAACCTTGACAACCACGAAGTAGCGGCGCCCGCTTCTGATTTTGACACCCCTTCTCATTGTAGTCATGACGCAGGAAAGAACAATAACTCCTCCATTGGCTTGTTGAGATCGACCTTGACGATCTCACCTCAAAGAGGACCGGCGCAGGAGTGCGGGCAAGAGCCGATGGATTGAAGCAAGCTTTCCCGCGCCTCCTTTGTCCAGGGACTGCTCTTTCACATCGGGCAGATACCTGGCTGCATCTGCAATCCCCACAGACCATAAGGTATGACTGTCAGGCTCACTTTGCAGGCTCTGTCTCCAGCTGCTCCAGGAAAATGCCTTCTTCTGTGATTTTCGCCTCGGAGTGGTTCCCTAAACCCTAAACCCTAAACCCTGAACCCTAAACCCTGAACCCTAAATCCAAAACACGGAGTTGGATGGAGTTGGTGTCGGCCGCCTTGGCCTGACGGTCTGCAGAGCAGGAGACGCCGATGCCAATGGGGCAAGAGGCACCTCGCGGAGTTTCTGCATGTTTCTGCCTTTAGGCTTCAGCGTGGGGTTGGGACAAATCCCATGCATGCCCGCAGGCGACATTACTTGCTGCGATGCAGCATCAGAAGCTGCAACCTGCTACTGGTACTGTTGCCACCAGATTCGCCGGAATGAGCTGGGTGCGCAACCGTGACGTGGCAGCCTCACGATGCGGACGTCATGTAGGAAGTACCTCCATGTAGAACTCGTCCGTGCCACAGGACTTGGCTTCTGTGGATTGCTGTGAAAAGCGCACTTGCCCCCAAACTGGGCGCCGATTCCAAGGTCCTGGAGGCGCAGTTTTCTAAGAGGTTGCGAAAGCATCGCAGCTGCTGGCCTGAGCCAGTTTTTTCACCTTCTCCTGTCAGGGCAGTCTCGTTGGGTCCGTCGTTCGCAAAGTAGAAGTACCCCTCATGTTGCAACAGCTACCACTTCGACTCCTCCCACTCCAAATCGCGGAAGGCACGGCCAAGCTTGTTTCCGGAAGTGGGGAGCCCATCCAGATACTTGCAGCTGGCAAGCTTTACCTGCAAGTCTGTGCAGCCCAGTGATGGCGAGTGTTTGCGCATCTTTGCTTGATTTTACCAGGATGGCATATGTTCCACGGAGCTCGTTCCAAATCGATGAGGCTACTTCGAGAAGCCAGAACCACTTACAGACGACTGGGCTTCTGCCCTATCCCAAGTTTCACTTAGTCTCTGCACCCTGTGCGTTGTGTCGAGCGTCCACCCGTCTGCATCCTTATGTTCAAGACGGCTTGTGTCACGTCACACCCTTCCTGGCTCGACCAGAAAGAGCTCCCAAAGCGAAAAGACACAAGTGCGGCATCAACCTTCGGAAGATAGAAAGCTGGATAGCTTGTATGACGACGGAAACCCTCCACAATCCGCAGCAAGCAGGGCAAAGGCAGCTCACACAAGAAGCCAAAGCTAGATCCGATGAACAATCCCGCGGAGCCACCGTCTTCAAGTTCTGCTCCGCTGAAAGGCCACCGACGACCAGTGCCAGGTGATACCTACTTGAACAGCATCGTACAGCCACTTCATGGAGTCTCTCGCTTCACTTGGGATCTTGACAGTGGACTGCACAGGCCAGGGAACCGACCCCTTCATTCGAAAGGGTGTTTCGTCGAAGTGAAGAAACGTCCCGACCCGACGATACCTTCACTTCATCGAACTTCAGCGGAGCGGGGCACGGAGGGCAGGCCGCTGTGCCGATGTTTTGCACCTGTTCCGTCACGAACTCGGTAAATGCCTGAGAAAGCTCCAAGATGTGGCTGCCGACTCTCTCTACCATCAAACACACGCTGCCTTGTCATTGAGAACACCTTTGGTCTTCTGCAGAAGCCTGGGGTTTCAAAGTCAGTGAGGATAACTCAGATTAGAGAACTGAACCCTAAACCCTCAACTGCCATCGCTGGGACTGGGTTTTGTTTGCGCTGCCACCTCCTTTCGCGATGTAAAACACGTCATAGGAGCTGCCGTGCCTAAGACGAGTTAAACTGGGACCGTACAACATCATATGCCATAATGTGATATGAGCTCAAGCATCAGCTAGAGCAACAACAACCTAATAAGGACTCAGCTGGCTCATCATGTCAATCTGCGCTGGCAGATTGGTTTTGGTGTTTGCTTCCTCGAACATGCTGAGCGGTGCCACCTTGGGCAATGCAGCAGGGGAATCTCACAACATGCCTTCCGCCTAGCCTGGCAAAGGCTATTCGGCCAATCGACAGCTCAAACTGAAGCATCCGCCTGCGAGTAGCGCAAGTAGCCTTCGGTGTAGGCTTTGTAGATTCCACGGGAGATGAACTCCTGGACACTGAAGCTGTTCGGAGCTTAGGGCCGGGATGAACGACACCGTGAGCAAGAAGCATTTTTTTTACGGCACAGTGTTCATAGTATCAGTAAAACGAGCAACGACTGAGCCTGAAACATATCAGCCCATGTTTGAGCAAACCCGCGTCCTCATCCCTTCCGTCGGTGAGGACATGAGTTCCTCGCTTCACCATGGCCTGAGCACCGTCTCAGAGTTTCCGCTTCTGGCAGGCAAGGCTTCTGGTTGCATGATGTTGCATGGGTACCGTGAAGCTTTGACTTGAGAAAGTCGGGACGATCTGAACAGCTGTTCCCACCCTGGGCAGCGAGACAGAATTAGGCTCTGGCAACGGCGGTGCCGGTGTCCTGGCACGAGGGCATGACCTGAGTTTTCGGAACACAACATGTTCCTGGATCGGGCACGACTCCCGGCTGAACTTGTCCTGCAACTGGCGAAGCCCGGGCCCTGCACTTTCCCAGCTGAAACCTAAGCTCAGACAGGCCGATTCGAAGGCCAGCTTTCTGGCTTCATTGCCTCTACACGCTGTGGCTAAGTGGGTGTCAGAAACCAGAAGAGAACTCCCTTCCTGCCGTAACTTTTTCGTCAGACAGGCCGATGACTGAATGCCTTGGGCATCTTCGGGAAATCACGCGGGTCATCTGACTTCAATCCTCTATCCTGAAGCTTCGAATACGCACAGCATTGCACCGCCCGGCTCTTGCATGACTCTTGCATGCGCCTTGGCTGCATCTGAATGCAGGCAAAGCTCGTGCGAGAAAACATCGCCAGCTCGTGGTTGAGAGGATTTGCGAGGTCTACCATGCATAATTCGCTAAGTTGCTTCAATGCTCCAACCACGAGCTGAACTTGGAATGCCAAACAAGCAGGCGCTGGTGGCCGTGCCCCTTTGGCTCTAGACGTTACCTCGATGTTTGTTGTGTGCGAGTTTGGGCCTTTCGATTGTGAGGCTTGGGTTTGTTAGACTGCCACATTGCAGTTGACCATGTAGGCATGCTGAGGAAGGCTTCCGTAGTTCCGGGCCTGATCTGGGCATTTACTACGAACCCGGCAGCAAGACCTGGGCTCTACGCTCATTCTTCGCAGATCAACGGTGCGGCGGCATCCTTTCCCGACCGGCGGGCATCACGGAACGACTCTCTGGACAGGAGCGCTGAAGACTTGGATGCTCGATGCATATAAGACGCACGGCTCCGGTGGACAGCGCGGCCGAAGAGCGGACTTGTGCGATGCTGCCTCAGAGGACCCAGTGCCAGACAGACCCAAAGCGAGATTCCCCACGAATCCGTTTCCAGGTTGATCTGCTTGCCAGCTTGGCACCGGCGGCATTACCTTCGGCCGCTCGACAGGCTCGCGTTCGTTCGACGAGAAGCTTACCTTCCGAAGCAATGTCGGCTTGGGATCGTCCTTCTCCTCCTTGCAAAGTCGTGAGCAAACCTCTTTCGTAAGCCAGTTACCCTCTGGCTATGCAGCTCATGCATGGCTGTATACAGTGCAGAAGAGAATCTCGCGGAGATGGCATTTGCTGGCCTGCTACAGCTCTACCGCTTCCAGCGACTGCATGCAGTCTAGCAAGCGTGCCAGCAATAAAGCAACCGCACTCAGGGACGCAGGGCATGTGCAGGCAAGCGTCATTTCGCCCCATGTTCAAGCAACTTCTCCTCGGCTTGCGAGACAACTGGTAAGTCTTTGCCAGCCGCCCTTTTCTCCAGCAATTGCGGTCGAAATTCGATGCGACGTACATGCCGACCCACTTCCTCGCAAGGCGAACTGAACTGCTGCGAAACGACTGTCTCTAGCGACCGAGTGCCCCGTCCTTGACAGATTTCGCCTGAGTGCAGCTGCAGTACAGTACAACGATGCGCGCCTGCGGTGTATCTGGCTGGAGCCCAGATGCCTGCTTGGATAGCTGCATCTTGGTTTCGAAGGTCAAAGTTTGCAAGTCGATGCTGGTGGCAAAGCCTTGGCTATGGGCAGCCGCTTCTAGAACACCTTGATTTGCCACACGAAGGGCACTGCTGCAAATCTCTGGCTGACGAGGCACCCTTCATCCTTACCAGCGCATTCGCAAGAACCTGAGGCGACGTGCTGCGGCTTCATCTTATCATTGCCAGCCACATGGCAAGCAAGTTCGGCCCATGATGTGCTGCACCTTGATCTCCACTTCGGCATTGCCACTGGCAGCTGCGAGCATACGGAAGAAAACCTCCCATGTCAAAGTGATGCAACAGTGCGCATGAACTCTGTCAAAGCCAGGATTCAGGATGTTTATCCAAAACAGAAGCTCGGCAAATCAGCCCTCTGTGAGATACTGCAATTTCCGAACCAGAGTTCTGGAAGTGCCGGCTCCTACCCTATTGGACAGCAAATGTCGGAGCTTCACTGGTACATGATCAAACTCAACACAACATACATCCTAAATCCTCCGCGGCCGTTGATTCTCCGAAATGCCTCAGGCATGCTCGTGGCAACTCAAACGGCCTCCACGTTCTTGATGTCGATGCCGCGTGCCTTAGCACTTCCGACCAAGGGTCCGATCAACTAGCGACAGGCGGCATGGTGTCACCCATGTTCTTGCAGTACTTCGAACTGCCCAGGCACGGTAAGGTATGCCCTGAAGCGGTGCTGCCCTGCGAGGAGCTTGAACTGCCCGTGGCAAATGCTGGACCTCTTGCTGCAGAAGCACATGACATGCTATCTGTTCAGATGCAGACGCCAGATCGAGGGCTCAACGTCTCAGAACATCCCAGTCGGCCTTTACATTTGGATGCACGTCGAATCCGAGGACTTCGAGGGGCTGAGGTCAAGGCTGCAGAAGAGGTCGATCAGTGACTGCGCATCCTGTACGTCCTTGGGGCTTTCCCAGTCTAAGACTTCTGGCAGAGCTTCGCCTGGCCTTCAGGTGGTGCTCCATCACTAAGGACTCCAGGTCTGGCTGGGCCAATTTCAGCGCTTTCTCCACAAACGTCGACCTGAGGTCGTGCTGCGGAACGCGCTGCCAGGGGGCTGACTCGGCTGTGGGAAGGGCGTGACGATGTTCCACACCTTCAGCTACTGGACATGCATCAAAGAATGCGCAGCAGTCCTCTTATGATGCAGCCTATTTCTGCTACGTCACATGCCATCATTTTACGAGGACCTCTATGTTGATGACAGCAGAACGGAGTCATAAGCTCTGTCCGCAGCGGACATGCATGAATTTGATTGGAGTACGGGTGATGACACGTCGTGAAACACCCGACTCCACTGGTGGTAAGGGGCAGGCAGATATAGTAAAAAGACCGACAAACACCAGGAACATGCCAGCGACCAGCTCCGAACCTAAAGCCAACACGTGAGCCGTGGTGGACCACAGCTCAGAGAGACTCGAGCCGTTTCTGTCTTCCAGGCAAACCAAGGAGCTCTGCTCAAGTGGGAGATAGCAATCACGCCAGTCAATGCCGGATGTCGTCGACTGAAACAGCGTCAGGATAGTTCCTTGGCTTGAACAGTCCAGATGCAGCCACCGCATGTCAGAGCCATCCCCGTCGTCGGCTGAGGCAAGGGACTGCCAACCGAGCCGTACCAGAGCATAATGTCCCCTGGTCGCACAGCAAAAGCCAGCAAGCCGAAAAGAGAAGGCGAGTCCGGCCTACAAACTCCTCAGTCAGGCTCTCGGGCCCAAATTCCCGCGAGTACTGGCCCAGGTAGTCCGCCAGACCTTGCACCTAAGGAATTTGGGTTCCACACTCCGGTCGGCCCTGCTTGGATGCTACGGGTCCGGACCATCAGAAGAGCAAAGATGAACATGACCTGGGCACTGTGCGCGAAGTGCAGATGAACCGTTGACTGGTCGGTACACCGTCGGCTTCGGCTTCGGGCGAAGAAGAGCATTGCCACACACCTCAATTGGAGGAGTGTGCAGGGAGCATTGCACTCCGGTATTCCTCTTTGATTCTCATGACTTTCCGGTTCCTTAAGGAGTCCAAAGTAAACTCCGCCTTGGGTGGAGTTCTGCAGCTGGGGGGCCATATAGCATTGATGACTGATCCGAGGACGCAGTCCAGCATCAAGCGCAGCTCTCTGAAGAAGCGAAGGGTGCGAAGCACTCGGAGGACCTCCGACGAATTTACAGAGTCAACTTGGCTTGTGAGCACATTCACGACCGAAGACAACTTGGAATCTTTCTTACCTCATGCCTTGGCAATCTTGCAAAGGCGCAGCAGCCGGAGGAAGGTCAAGTTTATGCCCTGTCATCGTCAGCGGTGGGACCGTATGCAACGCGGTCGACTCAGCGGGGAGTCCTCGCGGGACACTCCCTTCGAAAGCAGGACAAAGGATGAGGTGACCTCCACCAAGGAGAGGCAGACCTGGACAATGCCAAAACACAAACACATGGTCTCCACTGGGCGATGCTGCTCGTGGACATGGAGAAACAGATTTCTCATCTCCTTTCACATTACACGACATCCACACACTCCTGGTGATCCTCTCATCTTCTCGACAAGAATGGTGTGGAGTCCGGATTTCTTGTCACTGACGTATCGAGCGACATCGAGCACTGCGAAAGCATCCCCCTTCCTTTATGCATGGCAAGAGTTCAACATCTAGCGGCATCATCCGTGCGGCGACATACATCTGGGAAAACTTCTATCCTCGCTCGCTCAAAGTTGCTCGCACTGCAATACGTCATTTCAAACAAAGTGGCATCAACGACTTTGATATCGCATCGCCGACTTCGAAATCTGCTTTGCACTCTTCTGCTGCTCGACAAGGGTAACATTGTTGCCGGGGGCCAAGCCAATCCCAGATCAAAGAGGTTCCAGCGCATATCGTCATTGATGAAAAAGTAGAATCCTCAGGTTGCCAGACCGAGCGACGAGTAATAGAACTTGACGCGCAGTACCATTCCCCCATACCTTCTACCGAGCAGCGATGAACGGCCTCAATCGCGAATGGACGACTTGCCGCGTGCAAAACAGTGCACAAACAGGGAAGACTAAGAGCTGTGCCAACTTTAGGAGGATCTCGATGCCATAGAAAAATGCAAATCCGAGCTCAATCCTGTAAGCGAAAGGGCTTCAGTTGCCATCGGATTTGAAACTCTTCCTGTGTCAGCCAAGGAACATCATGAGGGGATATGGAGTGGTAGCACCTGCAGCAGCATCCAAGAAGAGGTCGCTGATGCGCTATGGCTGCGACAGGTAGCTTGTGAGTCTTGCCGGTTCGGTTTGTTTGGTCCGACAAGAGAACATGCAGCCGCTGCTTCCGCAGCGGTCCCTGTTGGAGCGCCTGGATTCTTCATTTCGAAATCGGACCTTGGCAGATGGCAGCACCGATGCCGTTCATGAGTATGCGAACCATTTGCAGGGCGCATGCGGTGACAGTGTGAATCGCTATAGCGAGAGCGCTAACACGTGACCATGTGTGCCAAAGGCAACCCCGGTGCTGGTAGGAGATCACGATCGAGTTGAGCAGGATCACCTCGGGAGGCACAACGGTATTCAAGACCACCGCCAGCCGATCGACATCAGAGAGGAGGAGCGACTGGTCTTGAACCACCCACCCATGGCGATAGCACAAAATACATATTGACAGTACACCTTGCCATTGTCCGAGGAGCCGTCATGCAGAGCCCTCCGAATCGATTGCTCTTCACGATTTTGGCCAGGATTCCAGTGCGATGGGGCTCCCTGGCTGCGGAGAAGTTCCAGGAACGTGATTCAGTGAAAGATAACCCATCCCGGCACCAGGTACTGCTCCTACGACTCCTACATGTCAACTTGCAGCCTTCACAGGCGGGGTAGGTATGGAGTACGAAAAAGCTGGCGCTGCAGTCCATCACGATCTGATCATGCAAGGATTTACGGCCGGGAGGAGCCTTGCCTGCAGTCTTCGCACCACTCAATGGCGCTTGCAACCCAATGGAAAAAGAAGTGTCGCAGAGCTGTCGAACTCGCCATCTCCCTGACACAGATGCACACTGTCACATGGAGGATGGCAACCAGCAGTCATCGTGCTCCTCCTACTACTACTCCTCCTACTCCTAGTGCTACTCCTACTGCCACTGCTGCTTCTCCTGCTCCTGCTCCTGCTCCTGCTACTGCTCCTGCCCCTGCTCCTGCTCCTGCTACTGCTACTGCTACTGCTACTGCTACTGCTACTGCTACCACCACCACCACCACTACGAATAGTTGCTGCGACGACGACGACGATGACGACAACGACGTCGAGACACTGCTACTGACTACCTGCTCACGGACCTGGCCGAGCTCGCCAGCGTTCTCCGAGGTGAGCCGTGCGAGGCCAGCCCTGCTTCCAGAGGTTGAGAGCTTCAGCAAACGAAGGCATATCTATTTCTGTGGCTTTCCTGCGAAGGCTTTATGAAGCACCCACTGTAAGGTAAGGGCTTCGGCTTTCGGGTCGATTCTTTTTCGGTGGACACGTCCGACAATTCTGAGAGTTACAGAGCGGTCCTATGATCTCGAAGGCGACGGTGTCGGGCTCAGACTCCTGCCCCTGAGTGACGAACCTCCACATCAAGCGCTCGAATTTCAATCACATGGGCTTCCACACACTGGGCGCCTCTGCCCGAATTTGGGTCCATCGCGGCTGCTCATTTTCTTGGTTGCAGGTGAGCTGCCTCGTGGCAAGAGCTAAATCGATTAGCGCCACATCTGTTTCGACTACAGTGACTCCACGCTCCTTACTGCAAACTTCCTTTCAACACATCTCGACACCGAAAGGAAAGTGGCAGAGCTGGATGGGGGCGCCTTTCTGGATGACTGGCAGCAGTATCTCATCAGTTGGACACTCTCGATCTCCATGTGGTATCGCCAAGGCCTCGGTTGCAAGCTCACGCAAGCACCGCGTACAGCTACGGAGTCGGAATACGGGGGGAGCGGGGGTGCCTTAGCTGCTACCGAGGCTCCGAACGGCTCTTGCTACTGGTGCATGACCGCACCTGCTGATTCGGGGCCATCCAGCCATCTGCACCGTCGCTGACCTGTGATCACATGAAGACCCTCCAGCTGTAGTAATTCAACTGGGCCGGCAAATTGTAGGCATGTGTATGAACCCTGTGTGCTCTTTTGCCGTTCAGCGTGCCCTCTGCGGCCAACGATGGAAGGATGGTACTTCGGCGAAGCATTCAAGTGATTAGTCACTAGAAGATCCGGCCGAAGGTAAACTGTCTGCAAGCATGAACCGTGCCAGGCCGCCTCATCCAGCTGAAAATGAACCACGCCCTCCACCTTGTCATGGTCCTCGTGTTCTTCATCGCGCTCCTCTGCTGCAATCTGGCGCAAACTGTAAGAGGCAGGTTTGAAGACTGGTCAGACGCAAAGGCCTTCTTTGGCACAGAGGTGCACGGTGCGGAGATTGCCAGGCCCTGTTTTGCAAGGTAACTCAAAACATGTTTAGACATCGCATCCCCCTTGAGACTGCATGGCACTCCAACTTCAGGCTCGACCTCCGCGAGATTCTGCAGGCACCTCCACAGCAAATCCCTCGCAGCCCCGGCACTTGAAGGGGGTTCACGGCAAGCGCACCTCTCCTGGCGAAGCATCATCTCTTGGTGGACGATGGCCAGGTTCTGCACCGGAAATTGTCATACCCGCCCGGCTACGTTGGGATTTTGGAGACGAGAAGTAGCTCCCCATTGATCCCTCAGGCCTTCAGCTGCAGCTGGTCAGAGGAATTCTGCTGCAGCAGGTGCAGCACTGTGCCTCCCAGCACAGCAGCACGAATTGGAGTCAACGTCGCCCGGCGTGCAGACTCCGGAAAGCACTTTGCATCATGTAGTCTCGCACCGACAGAACAATGCATTCGCGGTTACTGGCCGCCAACCATTCGGTTTCAGGATGAATCAATGCAAGGGCAGTGGGCTCGCAATCGCACCTAGTCCGTCATTGATTGATTCCAGCACACCTGCTGCAGCAGCACAAGTAGTATGCTTCAGCAACACAGCACTGACAAATACACGAAGCTACTCAGCCACTCTGCCTGGAAGGTCGAGTGGAGTAACGACCTGTGCATCGTTACAGTTCGGAGAAGCAGAAGAGGGCCCTTCCATTCTGAACTCGAGAGTCGCTTTGAGCTGGCTAAGCCCTCAAGACAAACAGAAATGCATCGGGAAGGGCTTGCTGAGGCTCACCTCAACCAAGGGCCCAGAGCTCCGGTGATCGCCGCAGCACGCAGACTGGAGCGACATTTCATGGGCAGGGGGAAAACTCAGAGCTGCGGCGGTACCGTTCAGGTGTCTGTTGCACAGCTTTGGTCGCATTGCGCAGGTGTGAAGAAGACATCGTGATATAGGCGATGATTGGTCTGTTCTCAAGGTAACCTCCCGGAGCCAAAATGTTGAGAGCACATAATGCCACATACTCCACCGCATCAGCCAAAGATGTGCCGCATTGCAACTACTACGAGTACCAAGATGGCTACACGGAGCATGTCTTAGCCGTTCAACGCCGGCCCCCTCTTCAGAGCCCAGGCAAGTGGCGCAGGCATTCTTGAGCAGTTCCAAAGCCACGAAGCGGTCATTGGACGACGCTTCGGGGTCCTTTCAATCTCTGGCACCTCTAGTTTAGTGTCACCGCGTCTACGCAACTCTGCTGCTGAAGTCCTTGAGAATCTTGGACAACATTTCCAAATGAGAAGGCCTGAAAAGATGCTGGATGTCAACGATGGCCTGGCGAGGCCACAACTCACCAAGCCAAACCCCTCTGAGACTGTAGTACGCACCTCTCTCTACCTCTGAAAAGAGCGGGGTCGCCTGGTGAGACACGGACTCGAGGACCTCCGACTCAACCTGGCCACTAAGACTGCTTTGGCATCCGTTCGGCTGTCGCAGAGACTCATGATGCATAGCTCAGTCTAGCTGGACAAGAGCGATACCGTTGGAACGTCCCAGTCGCGGTACCCGACACCTCGTTACACTTGTTTTGTGAAGGGTGCCTGAAGGTGAACCGGTCCGGCTCCCTCCAACTACTACAGTTAACCAAGCACGCAATCAGATGTCTACTATCGTCATACGTACCCCGTCTCGCCTTTAGCAGCTTCTCGCCGGAGGGCAGTGTACCTCAGGCCAGCCAGAGCTCTGCAACGGCAACCCGCTCTAAGAGGTCTCGGCGGGAGCTCGTAAACCGAGGTCTCGGCATGTTGACACACCATCCGACGACAGTTTCCGGTACTGTGCAGGAATCATTTCATGTTCGCAAACCGCAAAACTGAGGGTCGCTGGGTAACTCATCGAAAAGTCATTCCACACTTGTCGGAAACTGATGAGCGGTGGCCGCCTGAGTCGGGACTTCATTGGCATGCCTCGGAGGGCACACACAAGAGGCAAAACGGATGCGGACCCCCAGGGCCAAACGTGACTGCTGACGGGGTGCAGATCGAAGAGCTCTTCGTACTGAAAGGGAGCAGCCTTGGAGACTTAGCCGGCGACGAGCGAAGCAGTGAGAGCATGGCCCAGGCACGAACCCTAAGCTTTCAAGTCTGATGGGGATGCTCGCTGGCCCCAGTACCAGGACCCCGACCACGGCAGTACGTACCTGCGCCAAGCGAGACCAAACTTCGGCTCGGAACGGCAGGCATTTGCCTGCTTGTCTGAAACTCTTCAAACCTCCAAACGGAGAGGAAGGGTCCTCCCTGAAGTTGTTGACATCTTCTTTCATGAAGAAACACGTCGAACTGAACCCGTCGCTCCCACGAAGTCAGAAACAGCAGAGACCAGCCCAGGCCTGGGGGCTGATCCGAGATCTCTGCGCCAGGAGCCTCCGACCGAGGGGGACTCATGGGAGAGTGTTCCTCACTCTGGCATCTCGGAAGGGCACAGAAAGAACCCTTGCAATTAGGAGACTGGCTGCGATAAGTCACGGAGCCACATGTCCGGCCCGAAACAGAAGAGTCTGCTGCTGTTTTGCCTTGAAGCTAAACGTCCGCCACGCAAGATGGTCGCCATGGACCTTCGTGTCAAAAGCGGCTCTGATAACTCATTTCGGCCCCGTCAAAACCCTTGCAGTGTGACAACCGCCGGGCATCAGGCCGGTTTACATCCGCAGAAATACACCAGCAAAGCTGAGAGCCACAAAAAAAGGGTGACGGCTTCTGCAACCCTCGCAAGCGTATCGCACATGCCTCATCGCCTCCTCAGCGGAGGAATCAGATGCATTCAGAGCGGTCAGACCATGCTGCTGAAGATCACGTGACTTCACCGGTGCCTTAGGCCTTAGGCGGCTCCCCAAGCAGACAAGGGCAAATCTTCATGGCCTCTGCCGAGCCCATGAAGGCCAGGACGCCCGCGAGAGCGGCAAGGGGAGCCTTCACCTCCAGCATGGCATACCTCCGAGGGCGCACATCTTTTTCAATCATCTGCAGGTACTTGCATCATCTCTCAATATTCCTCAACACTTTGGGCTCGGACCCGAGGATGTAGTAGCTCATGCCGAGCATGAGTTGGTTGATGCCGACACTCATAGACACCCGTGCAAAGGCGTCATACGTCTGCCAGTAGACCGCGGCCTGAGGGAAGCGGAGAGCAACTGTTGGCTGACCGGACAGGTGGAGCCACATGTCACCAGGGAAAAGCAATTGCTCAGGTTTCATCACATCGCTTGAGCGAAGTGATGGAGGTGTGACCAAGCCTGGCGTAGCAGCTTGATATGCCTCAAGTTGGCGACCTGGCTGCAAGGCTTCACACCCAACTGCCATCACGACCGTGCCGGCTGTTTGCGATGGCAGCTGAGAAGGAAGGAGGCCCGAACCTCTGCACCACTGTAGCAGCCAAGCTCGTAAATTCCATCTCCTGAAACCAAGAACGAGCCAAAGAAAGACGGAGCTATGAGAGATGAGCAGAGGACAAATCACACCACGAGCAACCGACAGACTGCCAGACGGAAGGATCTGAAGACTGACAAAGGGCGGGGTTACACAGTTGGGCAACAACGCCGGGCGTTTGCTCCCGACACAAGAGAGACCTCGCTTCCAGCTACAGCTCCGAGCTTGAAGTTCACAGTGTATTCAGCCCTTCGTCTTCTACTGTCTGCTCTGTCCATGCCCGCAGGCTTGGAGGTCTGGCTGAGCCTGCCACCTCGCTGCTCAAGGCCCCATGGGTCAGTGGCCACTCCAGCATAGACCTTCCCGTGTGCGACTATACCGCATCTTGTAAACATATCCAGATACCCAGATCTGAGACAACGCACTCCGATGGCGAAAACATATGACTGAATGCAAACTAGCCTTTGAGCTGAGAGCAACATGAGAGTCCAGAAAGCATGGCATACCGAGAAGATGATACAATAACTCCTACTTCTGCTCGTACTCCGACTCCGACTCCGACTCCTGGCGTTACTACTACTAGTGTTACTACTACTACTACTACTACTACTACTACTACCACCACCACCACCACCACCACCACCACCACCACCAGTACCACCGCCACTGCCACTACCACTACCACTGCTCGCGCTGCCACTGCCACTACCACCTAATACTACTACTACTGCTGCCACTACCACTGCCACTGCCACTACGAAAACTAGTAGCAGTGGCAGGAGCACCACGACCAGCAGGACCAGCAGCAGGAATACCAGCAGTACCACTGGCAGTAGCGATAGCAGCAGCAGTAGTAGTAACTGTTGCTGTGGCTGTAGTAGCTGTTGCACTTTGGTGCTGGCAAAGGCGTTGCTGTGGTTCTACGAATGCGGGCAGTGTCGCTTTAACCTCGAAGATGTTTCAACATACCCTGTACACCTGTGTGCTGGCAGACAGCGCAAATTCATGATTTTCTATGAACATAGGCCGCTGGGCTCTCTTTACAGCTTTCTATGTGCACATGCAATAAACGTTCTGCCAGCTATGTGTTATATTTGCTTCTGAAAACACTGAAGCAGCGAAGACAATGCTGCATTGACGACGTCCTCATGACGATGAAGATGACGATGATGATGGTGGTGATGATGATGGTGGCGATGACGATGGCTATGACGATGATGCCGATGATGCCGATGATGATGATGATGATGGTGGTGGTGATGGTGGTGAAGATCATGATGTTGATAATGATGACCAAGGATGATAAGGTGATGAGAATCGTGATGATGATGATGATGATGATGGTGGTGGTGCAGCTGCATGTTGCAACAGAACTTGAATTTAGTTACAGTGACACAGAAATCGCCTGCCGGATCCCGCTTGCATGGTCAAAGAAGTGTCTTCACTTGTAGAAAACCTTGCTCGGCTATCATATAGTATGCAGGCTCTGTCGCCTGTCCTAAACGGGGTCTGTTCTGCAAGAAGTGTGTTTATAGCCTTGCCCAAATTCGCAAATTCCCCCAGCCCGACATCCTCAGGAGCAGTTAAACTAGATTTCCCAATGCCACCAGGCCTGCTCTGGCCCGCCAGTGTTGCCGGACTCTTCCGGTGGGCACACGTCATCAACATCAGATGCGGCATGTCCTGTCCCCGTCACCCCCTTAATCAATGCGATGTACTGCCAGCAACAAGGTGGAGTGGTGCAGGCCAGCACGATTTCTCACCATGTTTCTGGTGTGGCCAACATCTGCGAGTGCCTACTGGGTGAAGACGTGAGGCGGCTGGCACAACCGGTCTGAGCTCCTGGAACAAAGTCCTCTTGCTTCCCCGTGACGAATGGCACGCGGAACATTTGCCTCGCCAGCCCCGACACATCTGTCTGCTGACTCTGATATTTAGTGGGTCCGAGCTCATAGAAGTCTGTGCAATGAATGGTTTCGAACATGCAAGACAATTTGTAGCAGACGCGAAAAGTCCATGGTCTTGCTCCACACTTGTTGAACAGTTGGCAGGAGGAATGAAACCAGCTACTCGCTGGCTTTGATGCCTGTGTGCAGCAGGAAAGAGGGCGAGACCTTTCAGGAGGCATCCCTTTCGCAATCTTGAAATAGGTATCTCAAAGCACGCAATCAGAGACTCCCTGCCCTATCGCCACCGTCGATGTGTGACAAGCGCGTACCGATTGTTGTAGGAAGAGCGAGACAGAGGACAGCCACCTTTCTGCCTATGTCTGTTTCGTCTCGCGTCTCTCTGCCTGATCTTTGCTACTACAGTTAGCTTGATTTTCTCTTAGACCTTGCCACCGAAAAGTGCCTCCTGACCTGGCCCGCAACTTCCTTGCCGACTTGCACTTTAAATATCTTAAAATTACGGTGCCGCTTGCACGTCTGCAACGCTAGTGTCAACAGAACCGGGCTCTTCCCCATGATGGACGCCCCGGCTCAAACACCATCACCCTCAAGTTGAGTTCGATATCTCTTCACATCTCGATGATGCCAAGACTTTCCTGGACAAACGTTGCACGGTGTACCTTCCAAAAGAGCAATCTGTCTAAATGCCAACTTGAAAAGGTGTGGACATGCTGACTAGGCCATCTGACTTCACGACGGCGACCAGGCTGTTCGCTCAGAGGCACTTCACAGATACCGCGCGCCAACAGCATAAAATGTCTGGAAGTTTCTGCGTCTGCCAAACACAGGAAAAGCTGCGGGCAGGTCGCCTGGACTCAACTTTCTCGAACTCTGAGCCTGCAGTGCGGGCGGCCTTGGCACGTGGTGGATGGAGGAAAGTATCATATTATCATGCTTTTGCCACCGAGCAGAAATGCCTCTCTGCGATCGGCCACATGCTAGCATCATTACTTGCCACCTGAACCAGTATGATATAGCAGCTCGTGCTTGCTGATGAGTCAATCGCAAAACCTTGTGAATCAGGGATTCCTGCTATGATTTTACTGAGTTTTAATATCATCAGCCAGATGCCCGGCATCACGATCAAGCAACGTGGTTCCGGCTTTGACCCCGGCTCAGGCACACAGCTAATCCAATCGAACAGAAGAAAGCTGAAAAATGTCGGACTGCCTGCAATACATTCAATACATCATACCCCTCTTTATTCGCGTTTTTTGCAAAGAAAGACAAAGAACTGGAGAAGGCCAGAGGCACCTCTAACTCCGCCCAGGTCGGAATTGGCAGTCGCACCTGAGAGCAGGACCAGGCGCGTCAGCGAGTTCAAGTAGCATCTGGAAGATTGCTGCTATGCTTGAATCGCAGTTGGACTGCGATGCCATTATTCTGGAAGGGTGCTTCCTTGCTGCTCAGGTGCCAATTGGGTGAGTACCCTGGTCTGATAGCTCTGCGCAGCGATAGCCGCATGCATGGCGAGCCTCAGGAAGCTGGAGGCTGGAGGCTGCTCAAAGTGATGATTCCGGTGCGCAGGGGACTGCAAGAAGCCGAGGCAAGTGCCAAATCGTCAGCACCAGGTAGGAGAAGGCAACCACGGAGGCAATTTGATAGCCTTTGCGTCTGCCGAATCTGCTTCTTCCACTCCGCACTGCTGCAGGGGCGCGCGCCCATGACCAGCCAGTCCGGAGTGGTTTCTGGCAGCTGACCTTCGACCCACATTGTCACCGTGAAGCTGAGCAGCAGAACCTCGAAGCCAGGCGGAAACGAAGCGACACTTGTGCCGATTGTGCCGGGGCTTCCGTTACATGGCATCGTGTCGTCGGTGACACGACAAGGCCCTTCGCGCCCCTTCTGCATCCTCCAATTTAAGGCCCCAACATTGATGATGAGATAGAGGGACATCTTCTGCTCTGTGAGGGACACAAAGTCTCGCACGTCCTGCAATGGCAAGACTGGGACCGACTGCGGCTCTGGGTGATGGAAGCACAGAAACTTCAAAGGCCCAATCTGCCCTCTTTTAGTCGACACATCAACCAACCTCTGCTCGGGAGCTTACAGTCTGCACGAAACCAGAAATGCGATTCTCAAGGGCTCCTGGCGCCAGAGCTGCCCCTGGACGACGCGATACTTCCGCTCATGAAACTCCTTTTTCATACCTGGCCGAAACGGCGCACCACTCCGGTTGTACTGATGGTGCTAGAAGCATCTCAGTCATCATGCCGCATCGCTCCCTGAAAATGGCCTTGAGACACCTGCCCTGAAGTGCATGCAGGCCGGGGTCACGCTGCTCGCGATCTTCCATAAAATTGTCTCGGTTATATTCGAACACCTGCCGTGTGGAGTCGCAAGAGTGTGAATGTGACCCTTACAGCTTTCGGTTGCCAGGCCTTTGTGGCAGCACCTGCCAGTGCAGCGGGAATAAAACAAACTTGTAACGCGAGTTCTGCACACTTCTAGACCTTCTGGGACGAATGTAACGTTCGAGTTCTGCTGCTAAGGGAAGCCGTGGAATCCGATTGGCATGTTCACACCGTTTGGCCCGCAGCAGAGTCACCAACTCTGAAAGCGCACCTGGCGTCATGCCTGCGGCAGCCACAGCTGCCCCTGTTGCAATCACCATGGCTTCCGGAAGGTGTCAAATCCTGCAGCGATGTCAGACACAGTGACACAGCTAGCTGCCTCTGTGTCAGCCACACCTCGCATTGTCGAGACCCTTTCAATCTTGGCTCCAGGCAAGTTGCGCTATCAAAGAGGGTTGCAGCTAGAAGCCTCGGCAAACTAAAGTATTTCCTAAGCTGCCTCCGTATGTTGCAGGAGAATCCAATCGTCATGGGCTTCTCTTGCCGAAACTGTCTTAGCCAGCCGGATGTCGACACACTGAGGGAGACTGGGGCTCCGGCTGCGCTTCATGTCCTGGGCTGGTGTGTTGAGAGTGGGTTGGATCCATCTCTACCTGCCTGCGAGTCATTCAGGACATGCCGAGTCTGTGGCTATGTACGGACGGGTGTGAACAGAGGGCCGACGCCAGCAGGGATGGCTGGCGTGGACGGACTCGAGTATTTGAACCGCTTTGGCTGCAACACTTCTGCGAGATACGCATGGCAAGCACCAAGGGGGCGGTGATGGGCGGTGCCGACTACATCGACCGCGCGGTGGAATTTGGAGAGCTGCAAGAGCAAACCTGTTTTGATGATGCATCGATCTGTACATCAGCAACCATCATTGTTCTTTAGTCTTGAGGCCTAGAGCAAGCTGCACTCGGCGAGTGACTGAGGCTCACAAGCACTTCAGCGGGGCGGCATGTCGAACAGCTTAGCCCAAGATAGGCTTCAGCATTGCTTCCACTTCCTGCCAAGCAGCTAGCACACTATGCAGCGTTGACACAGCGACGACACAGGTATTGGAGTTGCTGCAGTCAGGACAACTAGAAAGTTTGCGTGTTGCACTGGGTAGTTTATGAGCACCATTCTCGGTTGACTTGTTTTTCGGTAGTGCCATTGTCCATAGACTGCTCGCTCCTATGACAGGCGCAGGCAGGCCAATACAATGATGACGATGACGAAGCAGACTCCAACTGCGACTCTCGACCCCTCCACGAGATTGAAATTTCTGTGAGTTCTGCTCCTTGTAGCGCAGCTGCTGTTCACGTTTTGGTGCCCCAAACTCCCCGCTTGCATCCCTGGTACCGTTGCGGCGCCCGCGACGTTGCGCACAGCTCAGCACTTGTTGCACATCCGAAGTTGCAGCTCTACAAACCGAAGCTGCCAATATCTTAAGTAGGCCGCCTTCCACGTCGCAGAACTCTATTTTGGACTAGCAACTTCTGCATTCGCATCTATCTCACTTTCACCTGAAGTCGCAGCCTGCTGTTGATTCAAAAAGATATGCTGAACGGCACGTCGCACCACTGCTGGTCGACATTCCAACAGCTTCTGCAATCACTATACATACAGTATGTCTCTAACATGTACGCACACCCTCTCCCCCCAAAACCTCCACATCGCCGCTGAGCTCCACCATCTCGCAGTTGTAGAACCTCGGCTAAGGCACGATGCTCCGGAGACCCTCCTCGAGCCGCTCCTGAACCCCAAAACGAGCCAGTCCAAAATTCTGGGGAACTCTGAAATCGTGATAAATCGTGGCATTCCATTCGGCATCAACTGTCTACGTTCGATCCTTGTCACCCTGGGTCGCTCACCGCTTTATCTCATCGATGCGATGGCGGTCGCGATCCGAAGCCAGGTTGACAGCCAAGCCCTTCTTCCCAAATCTGGCGTGCGCTTGGACGTAGCAGAGTAGCAAAGTGCCAGAAGGCGCCGGCCTCCCGGTCCGGCCGATCCGGTGCAGGTATGTCTCCATCTTCTCGCTTCCATTCGGCAGGTCGTAGTTCACGACCTGTACACCAAACACCGGAAAAAAAGACCGCATGTCGGCTCGTCATGGCTCTTCGAGGCTCCGGCCACCGTCACGGATGGAACGTCGATGCCACGAGACAGCACGTCCGTGGAAATAAGGACCTGCAGCGACGGTTCAAGATTGCCTCGTCAGGCGCAGCCGGTCACTTGGCGCCCGTCCCGTGTGACTAGGTCGCGAAACTCCTGCATGACCTCCAGACACGTGCAGGTTTGCATGCCTGGTCACAGGCTTCCTTTCAACTGCAAACGCTGAATCTGGCAGTGCTCTGATAATCGTGCGACTGGCCTTGTCTCGCTCGGCCACTTCAATGTAGCCTGGTCCAACTCCAACACTCGAGTGTGTTGCAGTCCGCACTCCAAGCATGGCATTTGATCCAGCCTTTCTGGGTCCCAGTGATCAAAGATACCTTGGCGCTTGCAAACGGTTTCGAAACCATTCAACGAGCGTCCCACGTCGGTATTTTGGGCACGTGCAGTGTGGCCACTAGATTTCATGAAGGTGGCAAGATCGAAGGCTGTCTGCCTCTCGCGCATGGGAGCAACTTCTGCTGGCGCCAGATGCCGCTACGAGGGCCAAGCCTGGTGTTCACGAAGATGATGGACTGGCCCACGTTCATCACACTGTAGAGCTCTGAAAGCTTGTTTCTCTTGTTGTCGTCTGTTCCGACGTTCATGAACCTTACAAGGTGAGACTCGTAGAATCAAGGGGTGACCGGAATGCGGCCTCAACCACTCCAGATCTGAGGGCGTCGCGTCTGTGTGATGGTGGTCAAAGTCAGATCTTCCTTTTTGACCTCCACCAAACAATCTATATGCAATGGCATGCCATGGCAGCTGATCGGAACATCTCCACGGATCTGAGCGCAAGTGAGGGCCACGCGTGGATGAGGTTCGGCCTGGGCACCATGGACCTGGGATGGGCAAAGCTGGGCCTCGAGCCTCAGCTTCAAAGGGGGGGCCAAGTCCAGGGCTTGGCCAGCTTTGCGACGTAGTCGGGCCATGTCGCCGAGAAGAAGAGGATCTTGCCACGTGACCGCTGCGGGGTTGTATCAGCAAGACTTCGGAAGCTGCGGCTAAGGCATGCGTTGCCTGAAGCTCCTTCCGCTGATCCTTGCACAACATCCGGTGGATGTCCAGCACCTTCAAACTGAAGACGCTGACCATGGCCCTGGTGAATGTCAAAGCTCCACCAAGCAACATGGGCCTGTCCACCCATGCTTTGCTCCTGTCACGCGAGAATCAACATGGATTTTCTGCGCAGAACTCGTGATGGATGCCTCGTCGATCATCTGGTCAGCCTGTGTCTCGCAGCGGCTTCTAGTCACCAGTCAACCACCAATTTCTGTTGCGGATCCTCGTCGACGACGAAGATGCGAAAGCCGTTGGGATCGATGATGCGCTTCTTCATCCAGTCCTCCAACATCGGGGCAGGGCCCAAAGCAGATCAGAAAGGGGATCACATGCTCAAGCCGCAAGCCCACCTGGAGTTTCCCTGGTGTGCCCACCACGACTTGCGCGCTGACCTCGCACTGCTCGAGTGACCCAATAGATCGGCTCGTGGCTTGCGAGATTTTGGCAGTATCCGGCCAGAGCCCAGAGTTCCAGAAGTTCGTCTTTTTGCTGTACTGCACTTCTTTAGGTCGCACCGACGCTGGGTCGCCGAGTCAATTCCTTCTCCGCTGTTCGCAGAATCCTTCGTGAACGATTGCAATAGCAACGACTGATGCTTCAGGAGGGATGGTCCGTTGATTTCTCAACGATGACATCGCAATCATTGCAGCATTTTGCAGAACACAGAGATGCAACCCGTATCAGATTTACTGGTAGAAGCTGCACCTCCGTGTTAAAAGCAGGATGCCAACAAACTGTGCACCTTGGATTTTCAGACAAGGCAATCCATTGATGGACGAGCCTTGGTGTATCATCGTTAACAGTACATCAGTCAGCCACCAGGGCCGGGAGCAAATTAAATGACTTCCGGTCACTCCGTGGCAGGGCCTGGCTCCGTCATGGTCCTCAAGTGTTCAATGGAACTAACGTTAATTATCTTGCCTTGCGGCGATAATGACCAGTCCTGCGCCACATTGGCCTGCACAGTACGGAAGGCGAAGGAGCAGCAGAAAAGAGCAAAGCTTTTCTCACGGGACCTCACGTCGACTTGCCCGTCTGCACGGCCCAGGCCACCACCCTAGCAAGATGTCAAAATGATCGTCGGCAGCATCCCCAGGAGGCTACGAGTACAGCCTGGTCAGCAAGCGCCAGGAGGTCCACAGGCTCGGACACTCGAATGGGTCGCACCTTGGTAAGGGTAACCCACTCCCGTCTCGTTCTACCAAGTTCCTCTGCTGTGCTCACGCTTCAATGCCGTTGAAAAGAGGCGAACCTTCCCACTCGCAGCTCGCTGTTGCGAGGGGAGCCGCGCTTGGAGCTCCTGGCACTGCTCTTGCATGAGAACGTCGCGGCTGCACTGTCGCCATTAGAAATCATCAGTAGCCAGTCAGAGCTGACCTTTGGGAAGTTCATGGGCAGGCAAGATTCAGCTCTCTTCAACTCAGCGCAATCCTGGAGATCCAGCTCAAGCTGCTGCCGCTGGGCTTCTTCCTCTACAACCGAGTTGGCTCACCGGAGGCTAACCGAGCACCCTCACTTCCATCAGCCTCCTCTGGTGACAAGCTGGCGCTGCTCTCGCTGCCTCGATGCAGCATGTCGACCATCGAACTTTCAGATACGTCATTGAACAGTACCAAGGCATCGCCCTCACAAACTTCGCGCTTCCATGCCAAAAAAGCAACACCATTGCACCATGATCAGACCTATCAGGGGCTTTGACCACAACCTGAGCCTCGGTAGCCCTCGCATCATGGTTGTAACCATCGTCCTTACCACTCATCACCACTATACCGCCAGCAGCATCGACATCACACTTGGCATGAGCATCAATCATCATTACCATCATTATCATCACCACCACAATCACTGTCGGCATCGCTGTGGTGATCGTCATCATCGGCAGCTTCCTGGTCCCCATCGTGCTCGGCCTCAGCATCATGATGCTTATCATTGCTGCCGTTCGCATCGACATCCTCGTTGAGGTCCTCGTTGCTATCCTCCTCAACGTGCTCCTCATACCTTTGCTCCGCCTTCATATCATCGCCACAAATCTGATCACAAACACCTTCACTCTCACCCTCCCCATTGCGACTGTCATCATCGAGATATCCAAGCAGAAGTCAACGACGATGCCATCATCACACACAGCACAAAGCCCAACTGCGGCCACTGACCAATGCCCACAGCCCGCCGTGAGAGCTCTGAGTTCTGGAACCTTGGCTGTCGTACTCCTCATCATCCTCCTGCTCCTCCTCGTCCTGTTCGCTTTCCACGGCAGCTGCCATCACCGTCGCTGCCTGGAAAGGTTGGGACCCGATGACCCACTCCGCAGCGTCTGAAACCCAGGCTCCGACCTTCTCACCGAATGCAACGTGGGCGGCATCCTGCACCACGAGAGAACATCCAAAAGCATCCAAGGGCTCTTGGCTCTTTGGAGGCCTTTGCCCAGGAAGGGCTGCTCTGCCTGCGTGCACTGCCAGTCTCAGACGTAACGCACACGCACGCACACAACATCAACATCCAGCCTTGAGCTAGAGGAGACCTCAGCCCAAGCAAGTCCAAGTGAGTTCGCTCCTCAACGCACCTTGAGCCTTGAGGACTGCAAATTGGCAGCCAAGCGTCCGCACCCTGCAAGCCGATCCTCACGGGGATGTTCGGATCTGGTCCGACACGGAACAGAAGTTGACTGGCCCTGGCCGCCCAGGCCTCCCATCCAAGAAGGCCGTGGCCTAAGCCAAGTGTAGTGTAGTGATCAGCCGATGGGTTCTCAACCAGGTAGGCTCCTGGCCGCTTCTGTGGCGGCCCGTGCTCTGGCATGCAGACTGCTTTCCAGGGCTTCTGCAGAATCCTGGCCGCTTCGGAGATGCTATCTGTGCTATCTCGGCTTCCCTTGTTTTGGACAGGTCGGTTCGATCCAAGGCGTCTGCCCCGGCTGTGCGCATGCCCGGACTCCTCCGCCTGCATGCATCCGGGTGAAGCGAAGCCGCAAGGACCCGGCAAGATCCCCATCCGCCTGGAGGGCGAAGAAACCTCAGCAGACCAAGATAGTCAGATAGACCAAGCACTTCGCTGCTTCTGTAGAGACTCTCCGTAAACGCTACAATATCTCCACGGACTAACGACACTTCCGGGGGCGCCGACGGCCCAGGCGGCTTCGGTGCCTGCTCGCGCACGGGCCGCCGGCGGGCTCGAGCTCCTGCCACTTTGCAGGAAGGGGAGCTTTCAAGGCAGACTTAAGGCGACACTCGGGGCACCCGCCAGTAGAGCTACAAGTATGTATGCATCCAGGACTGTGAAACTTAACTCTACATCATTGGGCCCGACCATTGTTCGGGAATTGGGCGTATCCCGCCTTCGCAACTGCCACCCCACCCAAGCAATGGCAGGATGAAGCTACCCGAAAACTAAATCGCCGCCACCCGCTGCCAGCCTCTGTGTCACGGCAGGAAGCTCCTCGTGCAGCATCCAGGCATCAAGGCAATGTCCACTAGTTGTTCTACACTGCTAAGGCAGGCCAGGACCTAGTATAATCACAGAAAGCGATTATCAACAACAGACTATACCGCATGCCAGTCGATGCTTCCAGCAATCCCTCAGCAGCTCAACACTCAAGAGGTCGAAATAATTCGGTCATGCATTGCAGTCATTCAGAAACCGCACAACTTCTCACTGCAGATGCACTCATATGCACTCTAAAACCATGCTGCACACGCACGCCGCCTCGGTCAGAAACGCAGCGGCGTCCGTTCCGGGCCAAGAGAAGCTGGGGGCCTTTGCCCTGCGCACCGACGCAGTCTAGCCCGCGTCCGAAAGGTTGCGTCGGGCTGGCCTGAAACCAGCACTTCCGGTGCTGGCACTCTGCGAGGCCACCTGCAGGTCCACTTGCAATGAACCCGCGCTATGGAACTGGATACTTCGGCATCTGCCTCCTCGTAGAGGGGTCGCGATCCCAGCTGCGATGGGCTGCTGTGCCTTCCACCGTGCCACAAGTGATCCGTGTGCGGCGAAAGCTGCACCGGAACGGACCGGCCTTGGACCGCTTCGCAGGCTGCCCTCCTCACAACGAAAGATGGCCAAGTTGCTGCTGAGCACTGGTGCAGCCCACCTGAGACACTGCGGGTGTCAGGCTCGCCGAAGTGGCTGCTCTTGCCATCCTGCCAAGGCTGCGAAGGGCAGCTGAAAGATGGGACGGGAGTACCATCTTCCATGGCAATCAGATTCCCCCTAAGATTGTCGGGTCTTCCCGGCTACTTTCCCGGGTCGTCCTGCTTGGACTGCTGGAGTGCGCTGCACTCCGAGGTTCCTATCAACAGGACTCGACAAGGCCGCATGTCGCCGGGCGCTGTCGGGCCTGTGCCCAGGACGGCGAGCTGCTGTGAGTCCTCGGCTGCGACGACAGCTGCGACAGCTGCAAGCACCTCTCCTCCATTCCCTTGCCTTGACCGCGTGAGCAAATCCCCATCAGGCAAGTGGAGCACGTTTGTAAGGACCTCGCGCGCTGCCAACTTGTTGGGCCATGGATGCTCATAAGGCGTCTCTTCCCGTCCGCGCATGCGGATGGCCGGATAGTTTGGACTAATTCCCTCAACTTCATACAAGAAGTGCATGGCAGTCCAGCATAAGCACATGGAATGCTGCAGTCGCAGCTCTGAGGCATCTGACCGTCGGCGGTGACAAGGCCTCGTTGTTCCTCAAAGCTCCACTTGCCTGCGAGGAACACCGAGGAGTGCTTGCAGATCTCCTCTTCTTACATCGCAAGCGCATGGGCTTCAAAAACTCACTTGAGCCCTGATTCGGACCATACCTCGCTGGTGCCCTGACAACAGTACCTGCATGATATTTGGCTCAGGACCTTACCTCTTGCAACACGACGACGACGCACCTCAATCCTCTGGATATACCAAACCGACAATAGCAAGCTTATCAGGCCACAGTCAGCCATCTAGATCCAATGAGAGTGACCGTCCATTCGGTTCGTGCCTCGGTTCGCCTTCTGAAGGCCTCGAGCAGGCACTGTGGTCAAGCTTCAGTAGCTCAATAGCTTCTACGTGCTGTCGAGCCGCTTGCGAGCTCAATGCCTCCGACCGCATGGGCATGTCAGTGCCAGATGCGGGGAGCGAGGACCTCGCAAGAGCAACACTCGCACCACTCTTAAGCCTTAAGCGTCCCATGCATCCCAAGCACGCCCCTACCCGGGCCTGAAGCTGCTGAGAGGGGCACTTGCCTGCTTGCGCTTGGCACATCACAGGCTCGCAGGTATGCCGCACATGCCAACTCCATGCGCATCGGACAGAGCCTCACCCAGCTGCTGCGCGGCCACCCTCGTCGAAGCCGAGTGGGAGCGATCTGACCTTCCCGGGAGGCAGCAGAGGCACTACCCCTAGCGCTACCCGCTACTCCGTGACTCCGTGCCTCGCGACCTTCAGATCGGAGATGGCCACCTTCGCGAAGCAACTGAAGTAACGCGCACCCCGATGCTCGCTCGAATGCGCAAACAGCAAATACAGCCATGAACACGCATGCAGATACGCAGCGCCGCCAGGCTGTGAGCATGTGAGGACTGTGAGGACCGACGCGGACTATCTGAAACAGGCTTCAATGCAAACAAACTGTCATTACTAACGGGCAGAAACATTCTTCATCACTACGAGTTTGGCCTATGCCGGCAGCTGCCCGCACACACGGATCTTTATGTCTGTGAAGTCAGGCACTTGGCAAGTCAGCTTCTGAGGCAGCAGCTTCGCGCGACGGCGATGCCTCAACCAGCGACAAGTAAGATTGTACTTCAGCTCAAACGAGATCATGAAATCTTCCTTTACCGAGCTCTGGCTCACATCTGCCCCCGCAACAGGCCACTTTCCCTGCAAACACATCACCACAAGTCTGCCAGCTCGCGTGCCTCGGTTCGCCGTCTGAAGGCCTCGAGCAGGCACTGTGGTCAAGCTTCAGTGGCTCGCTCAATAGCTTCTACGTGCTGTCGAGCCGCTTGCGAGCTCAATGCCTCCGACCGCATGGGCATGTCAGTGCCAGATGCAGGGAGCGAGGACCTCGCAAGAGCAACACTCGCACCACTCTTAAGCCTTAAGCGTCCCCGCCCCTACACGGGCCTGAAGCTGCTGAGAGGGGCACTTGCCTGCTTGCGCTTGGCACATCACAGGCTCGCAGGTATGCCGCACATGCCAACTCCATGCGCATCAGAGCCTCGCCCTGCGTCGCCACCCTCGTCGAAGCCGAGTGGGAGCGACCCGACCTGGAGTAGACGACGTCCCTGCCCACAGTGACTAGGACTAGGCTCAGCCATGTGGTCTAGGACATCGTCTGCAGCTTAGCAAGTCCAGAGCCTTGGCAGCACCTCAGGCGATGTATCTGAAGAGGCCTCGCCGAAGCTGCAACGAAGCCATGTGCTGATTCGGGTATGTTTGTGCTTACCCTGACATGAAACGCTTGCACATAATCATAAGACTGCATCAATCATGCTGGCAACAGGGCCAGCACGGTGCAGCAAAGGCAGAGGTTGACGCCGAGGCAGCGTCAAGTGGCATAGGCATCGTCTCGTTCGGAGTAGAGCCCGATCGAGCAAGTAAGAGACCGAGAGTGCACGACAAACCACTTCTCGAAAGTGCTGAATTCAAGGCGGTACATCCTGCTGAAGCAACTACGTCAAGAGCATGATGCCAGCAGGGCGGTCCTGATGCCGAATCGCAGACGTGGTCGTGACCCTGTCAAAGGATTCGACTCTGCCGGGATTGGCTTTGGCACAGGCTTGCGTAATGTTACGGCCTCACTACTGCGGCTCTGGTGCTGATGCATCTGCTGCATGCAATTCGAATTAGAACAACTGGAGTCATCAGATTTCAGGAAGCCCACAGCATGGTAGCCCGTAGCATGGCTAATGGTGGAATGCCACCGTGCCTTGGCTCCTGTAGCTGCACCTGGAGCTGGGGCAACACAGGTGCTATATCATGCACCACTATTTGTACCATGTAAGGCATCGACAGTGGTGTCCGCAGCAGTCCATGAGGAGATCTGCACAGGCACCGTCACACACGCTGCACCCAAAACCGCTAGCTACGTCTCGGTGCTACAGCTGCTAAGTTTCACGGATTGGGCCTGCTGAGGTTGCGCAAGCGCCTCTGCACGGAGTGCAGCCAATGCAGTCGCAGGCGCACTATTCCTGGGTACGCCGAAGGATGCCGTTGCAGCGTTGTCGCGATGCTCGATCGCCAGGTTGTCCTTCACCTTGCCCTCACTTTGTGGGAGCGCGGAGCTTTCGAGCCCTAGGGCCCTGATGTCATCTTCGAGCTTTGCTTGGGCGGCTGCTCGCTCCGCACTCAAAGCATTGTAGCTCTGGTGCATCGAAGACTTCCTTCTCCCGCTGTTTGGAGTACTTGGGCTTCCATCCTCCAAAGATGACGCGGACGCGCCTGTCGCATGTCCCGTGGCAAAGCCAGGCCCGTGCACCCATCGCTCCGGCTCCGGCTGTATCGGCTGTCGCTCTTCGGAGGACGGCCGATGCCTCCCCACGCCTTCCAGGAGATGCCTCGCGTGGGCCGCTTGGGGCTCCTGGGCAGCTTGGGCCGCCTGGGGCCTAGGGGAGCTCACGACCTGGCTGTCATCGCTCACTGACAAATAACCGGCGTTGCTGAGCCAGCCCTCCAGTGCTTCCTTTTCTGCCTGCAACCAAGTCAAACGACTCATGGCAGCTTCTGCGAAGGGAGGCAGCTGTGGCTGGGATGCTGAGGGGCTAGTCGGCAGAGGCCCAGGATAAACCCCAAAGGTACTTGCCCATGGTGGCATCTGCTGGGCCGAGGGCTGCGTCACGGGCTCCAGACCATCTCCCAATGTGGGCTGCCTTCTGGGACTCGCCAGTGTGGGGCTGGTGGGGGGCCCCACGGCAGGAGCGCGCGAATGGGCAGGAAACGACCTCAAAGGCCGATGGGCTTCAGCCGAAGCCCCGAGACTTTCGTTCAAGGCCTGCGTCTCTCGCCACACTGCAATACCCACCGTCATTGGCTGTCCTTCGTACCGTGGCGACAAGGGCCGCTCGCAAGACGAGGCAGCTGTGGACCGCTTCGTCTCAGAGGGAGAGGTCGCCGCAGTGGCAGCCGTGGCCTTTGTGGAAGGAGACGCTTGAAGGCTGTCGCGAAGGGTTGCGCCAGCCTTCCTTGACCGTGCAAGGCGCCGTGAACTTGCCATTTGAGCGTGGCCTTCTTGCGCTTGCAAAGACAGCCGGCTTGCCGAGAGCTTCTCCCGAAGTTCTTGCACCTGTCTGCTGATGTGGCTGTTCGCCGAGTTGTTCAGAGATTTTTCCGGCGTTGTTAACCCACGGCCGTTGAGTAGCTGTCCGGCATCTGCGCCCCTCAGAGCCCATACCTGCCAGGCACCACGGCAAGAGACATGACATGCACCTGTCTGCTGTATCTTCATGGCCTATGTTAGCTTCTTCGTGCTCAAGGCAACCATGCAAGCTTCAAAAAACTTGTAAGCGCAGCTATCGTTCCACGGTAAAGTGCATACACCTCGGCCAAGTCGAAACAAGTCAACCTCTCTGGCCAAAGATGGGCCAGATGTACCGTCTCTGGCTCTGGAGTCTGGAGTCTAGAGTCCAGAGCGGAACTGGCTTCTTAGTCGTTCTCTGAGATCTAGCTGGCTATCGCGAACATGATAAACGATAAGGCGTGCAGCTTCCTGATCTTGCAGTCTTGATCTGCCCCCGTGCAGTTCTCCTACGTTGCGTACCGTATCCATGAGCTAGCAAGGCGCTTTCCCTGAACTGCACCTGCCAGGAGCTCATGTCGGCCCGCTCTGCTGCCACCATCGGACCGTGGAGACGTACTCGGAGCTTCTTGTTTGAAGGGTCTCTTACTCTGTCCCCTGACGTTGCTCTCGACCGATCTGATACCGACACTTAGGATGATTCAGCGAAGCCTTGCTCATGAAGATCGAACCCTACATCTTCCTGTCGTTCTGAGCCACAGGTCCCAAGAGGGCTCTCAGGGCTTGGAGTTACGTGTCAAAAGCTGCACGAGGATGAGCTCGCTGTGGCGGAGACGCTGCGCGGAGCGCGCTGCTCCTGTGGCACAGCCAAGAAGAACTCCAGACCTCATGGATCGGGACCCTGGATATCCCTGCATGCTTCGGGGGTCAGGGTCCTGCAAGATTGAGGCCGAAGCCTGTGAATTTGCCAAGCCGCTGGATCACGGCGTGGTTCTGCATTGTCAACTCGCGCCTGCAGACACGAATCAACTACCGGCTGCTGAAGATTACCATTCAGTGATTTGAGGCGTGGACGTGGGGCACACGCAGAGACCCTGCGGGGCTCTCTTGTTGACGTCAACGTTTGCCAGCATCTGGCGGGAGGCGGGAGCATGCGGGAGCCAACGGGAGCATCAAACAATGCTGCATACAATGCGAGCGGCATGTCTTGTTCCTACTGCTCCATTGCAACTGCAACTGGGCAGATGCGTCTGCAAAGTTGAGGGTGCCACTGCCAAGGCAAAAGCTGCGGTTTTTCCACTGCCATTGCGGGCCTGAGCTGCAGACATGCGTGAAAGGGCCCACCTCCCCCTTCGCATAACATCATGAAAGCTTACGGTGCCGGCCTGCCCAATGATGTTCCGACCCTTCATCGCAATGGGCAAGGCCAGACCCTGAATCTTCGATGGCTTGGTAAATCCCATCTCGAAGATACCGTCCATGATCTCCTGTGCCGAGCTTCAGCTGCAAACCCCAAGAGGTGACGAGTACTTGCCATCGGTGTCGGGGACTCCTTGGACAGTTTGAAGTCATCCCAGCAAGTCACCGGGGTGGCGTCGGTAGAACCATCCTTCCAAGAGGCATATTCAAAGCACTAGTTCTAGTAGTAGCAGTAATTGAAGTCGTAGCAGTAGCGGTAGCAGTAG